AGGCAGCACCGTGAAGAAAAGTTTTCCTTCAGGAGGAGAAGTGACATTTGCCGCCTTTCCAGCGCCGAGGGAAGGGCGGATTTCCCCCAGAGGCACCGGGTCGTCCCGCTCGGGTACGGTGCTTGCTCGGTAGAACGTGTCCGCTCGCTCTACCTTCGCCAGGGCGGTAAAAATGAAGCTGGCTTGAGCAGCAGGGTTAAAGGGAGGTGATGGGAGGTGAGGAAAATCTCCCGGAGCCACCCGTCAGTGAGAACTGGCTGCACTTCCTTCCCTGGGCACGTGTTACTGTTGTAAGCTGCTTATTTCAGTAGTCAACTTTTTTCTTTTTTTTTTTTTTTCCGGAAACAGTAGCTTTCAGACAGAAATGCGTAAAATTGCTCAGAAGATGCTAGCTAAAAGTTGAATGAGCTGTTTAATGTATTTGTGAACTAAATCAAATGCTTTTAAAATCAAGCTTTGAAATGCGCAACTTCAGCCCTGTTTTTTTCTCATTCATTAAGGTTATAGACTATTCTCTTCTGAATTAAGAAGTGAGATGAAGTATGGTTCTGAGTATTCAAGAACTGACTAGTTATTTCCTGGTTTGATTTCTGCTCTACGTTCCTTCTGTAGGATCAGTTTGTCAGAGCACTGTTAAATTCCTAACTCTTCACTGGTTTTAAAATGCAGAAGTAACCCCTTTTTCATTTACAGTGTACAATGAAAGATGAGGTAAAAAAATCCCTTCCTGTGGAACATAAGCCCCTACTTTCACCCACGTTGATTTATAATGTTTCTTTAATTTCCTGTGGTATAGATGCTGCTAGTCAGTTCACAGTGAAATTATTCTTGGCCACATCCAAACAAATATAATTGAATATCAGTTATTGCACCTTGGTCATTTGCACCAGTGAGTGAAAGGATAGACACTGAAGTGCAAGGTTATCTTTTACTGGGTAGCTTTATTTTAGCTGAATTTTATTGTTATCAGTGGTCTTAGAACCTGTAATATTATCTAGTGAGAGGCTCCCTGTAGCCAGTCTCTTAACTTTACCATTCTTTTTTAACATTGATTTTTCATGGTGGATGTTTGCTTCCTTTAAAAAGTCTCCAGGGAAACAATGGGTAGGTAAGGAAAACACAGTTGGCTAATATTTGGAGCTTGGAACAGATGAAAATACAGACTATACCTGAGTCCTTCCCTAAAATAATTTAAAAAAAAAAAAAAGGAGATGGAGCTTATCAATCTGCTTTCTAATGCAGCCTGTGGAGTTATTTATATAAATGGGAAGTCACAGTAGTTTCCACCCTTGTACTTCTAAGCCTGCTGCTGATTTTCTCTGTCAGAACTTCATCCCTTGGAAGCAACCAGCGATGCCTGTTCTATGCATTTTTACTTCTACTTAATTATAAAACAGCCTCTAAATTTCTTGATTGGAAACATCTGGTTTTGTTTTGTGAAAAGGGCACAAGTAGTCAGGTTTATTTAGAAACATAGTATGTGTAGTGCCTGATATTAAAAAGAGCTAGCAATTTTACTTTTTTTAGTCTTGAGTGTTCTCCCAGACACCGACTTATTCTTTTTATCTCCAAAGGGAGCCTTTGCAAATGACCGTCCGTATTTTTAAGCAGGGAAAAAAAAAAATGAGAACAGCTTAGGGATTTTGTGTGGAACTGACAGTAGACTGTTAGTTACTTCTGTCAAATAACTCTTGATTGAATAAAGAAAATAATTGCTAACATTACTGAGAAAGTAGCTGTGCAATATTAAATCAGATTTAGAGTTTACTCTTTTGCTTTGATAACTTAAAATAACTTTACATGTTCAGTTCGGGAGTCTTCCTCAGTACCTATTTTTTGCAAGATAAGGGGGTCAGGTTGCGCTTGTGCTACCCCATAAGCTTTTTCCAAAATTTGAGGCACGTGTGCATGACAGCATTTCAAACTGAGCTTTAAAAGACTGTATAGAAACATAAAGGGCTTTCTACTTTCAAGTTTAAGAGCAAACTAGCAGTGTGAATTTTTTTTCTCCCCATCTTTTTTAATTTGCTCCTTGCTAGAAGAAAATTCATAAATTCATAGATCCAGCGTAGTCCTATTTAGTTACTAGTGAGACTGTTCTTGAGCTTTTCAGTATTGACCTACAATTCTGATTTGAGAAGCACAGAGGTATTTTAGTTGGATGTTTTTATCTATTCAAAGGGAGGGAACAGGCTTCAAAAATCCTGAGAATAAAGATCTACATAGCTTTTTAAATAGCCTATGGTTTAAGTGTTGCCTGCATGACTCCGTGAGGATGTGGGAATTTGTGTATTTTAATTTTCTTCTTTTCCCTGATGTTTTTGACGTGGTTTTCCGTGGCCATCTAACACAAGCTGAGGGGTGCAAGCTGAGCCTTGCTCAGTTTCCCAGTACTTCTGACCCAGTATCCTTGGGGCCTGCAGAAACTGGAGTGATCTAGAGGGCTGCAGTGCTCTCAGGGGGTTTACACTCCAAGGCCTTGCTCCTTGGCATCTTCAGTGTGTAAATTAAGGAGTATAAAACATGTATTTGCTAAAGATGCTCAAAGGGAGGAAGGTAGCTCTTAGCAGACCAAGTGGGGATGACTTCAGTCAGAAATATTTGGAGATAAGTATAATAATTTTGTTGATGAATAAATACAATCACTTGGAAAAGTAAAGGGGTAATATGAGCTAGTCAGCCCGACACTGGTGGTCTGCAGCCCTCGCAGGTTTGATGCTTCCTATTTGTACAAGTATCTCCTCGATGAAGCTTCTATAGTGATTGAAAGGTTTGTCTTTGTGTTTTGTAGGGCAAACATATTAATGCACCAGTACAACC